AAGTGCCATCACGACGCCTATGGTGGGATTTTTGGTCGTGACATCAAGTCCTTCCAATATAAATCTTTCGCTTATATATTTTTCAAATAGAAATCTTCAGGATATAATACTTTCAAATAAATCTCTTTCTAATCTCTTTCAAATATAATTCCCTCAAATAAAATTCTTTCAAATAAATCTCTTTCGAATAAAAGTCACCCTGTGACACAGCATTTCAAAATCATAAAATACAGGTCTCAGCCCACTTTCAGATTTTCACGGTACCTCGTGCCAATTTCTCTATCACAACCGCACGGACAATTCACGTGCCAAATATCATCATCATTTAACCACGGCACCTCGTGCCCACATTTCATATCACAACTGCATGGACAATTCATGTGCCAATATCATCACTATTTACTAACGACACTTCGTACCCATATTTCATATCACAACTGTACGGACAATTCACGTGCCAATATCATCATTATTGCGGTACCTCGTGCCCACATTTCACTTCATAATCCGCCTGGCAATAACCACAGGCTCCCAATTTCAACATAGATCAGACTATTATCAATTTACCAACAACAAGACAAATTGTACAAGGTATAAAAATAAACACAAGGAAAATCACAACATGAAAATTACCAACGCAATAACCCCACATCATCACATATCATCCCTGACAATAGCCAATCACATATCATCCCTGACAATAGCCACTATTATCTCTTCTATAGCCACCCTTATCACTCCTATAATAGCCTTCCTTATCCTTCCGCGCTGACAATATCAATAGCCATTCTTATCGCTCCTATAGCCACCCTTATCTCTCCTATAGCCACCCTTATCGCTTCGCCCAGATAATATTCCAACACACATAACAACAGTGAAATGCCACCCTTATACCCGCATAATATCAACAATGAAATGCCACCATTATATTCTCAAAATAATAACTCAAATAACCCAACAATTTACACGGAATATTATCACGGCGACATAACAAAATCAATTCATATCACAATTTGCCTAATGGCCACAACCTATTCCAAAGATATAACAAAATCAATTAATTTCACAACAAATAGACCAAGGCTCCACACAATGTTTATAAAACCTCAAAACAACAACAGAGATAAAAAATACTCAGTATAGGGCAACGCCTTTATTAATCCAAATTATTGATAATTATATAACGCCTCGATTTAAATTTATTTCATTAATTATTTGCAGATGGAAAATCCATAATATAATTATTTCCAGAAAATATCAAATTACCAAACTCACAGAATTCACATAAATATACAAGCAATAACCACATCAAATTATCATATAAAAACAAATTCAACAAACGCAAATTGAGGCATGGCAAATAGATAATTTATTAAATGCCAAAAATTATCTAATTTACTACACAATATGCCTTAAGACTTTAACCCAATCAATTTTTCACATATAAGCCCGAGTACGTACTCATCACATCGCGTACACGGCTTTTCACATTTCACAAATGACACATGACTCGATGCCTAAGGAGTAATTCCCCCACTCAAGGTTAGGCAAGATACTTACCTCGACGAAACTAAGTCAATACTTTAAATGATCTTCGCGAGTGAAGCCACCTTCGGACGGCTCAAGTCTAAAATTCGCTCCTTAATAATACTATGATGGTCCACCACACTAAGAAAATTTCAATCTACAACAATGCAACACAATCGCATCAATATTAATAAACAAATTTCAAGATTTATTTTGGTCATTTAGGCATTTTATCAAGCACCTAGAGTACATAGCATTTTACTACTTCTAGTAATAATGTTTCTTCATCAAAAAAATCCCTCCTTCTTACCAACAAGAGATACTAAATCATCCTTTGTCTACAAACAACCTTCTTTAGCATGATTAAAATCATCAATGAACTCATATCTACCCAGTTATTGCTAATTAATTTATTACAAAATCTCTACAATACCCAATAATCTAGTTTAATTATTTATGGCTTTCAAGCACCATACAATAAGTGTTAATACTTATTTCTTGCTCAAATACTCATACTAAATCCATACATGTAAGTCTAAGGGTATAGGATTACCTTTTTTGGAAGAAATCTTGCACAACCCTCCTTTGAGTTCTTGAAAATATTTCTTGAAGATCTAAGTATTTTATGTGTAGATTTCATCAATACTAGTATAGAAATGATGAAATTTCACACCAAAAAAATGGGGATTGCTTACCTTGAAGAAAAGGGGAGTTGGGGTCTTGAGAGAGTGGAGAGGAGCTCCAAGAATCGGCCAAGAGGAGTGGGAGAAGTGAGTTACCGAAATGCTCTTTATAAAGGCTTCAGGCCTAGCTTGTCCATCCTCGTGCATCGCGCGGACATACACGACCTCTCGTTCAAGTTCACGTGCTGGGGCAATACTTCGCTGTTTTGTTGAAATGGCTGGGGGTCATGGCTCGTTCAAAGCCGCGCGGCGCACGAGTTCACACGAGCTCCCCAGTTGCATCCTTTCCATATTTCTTGTTTTCCAACTTACCCTCCTTCGATACCTTGCTATGATGTAGACCCCAATTCACTTCCAAACTTTCATATAAGTATGAAACCATGATTACATGATGTTACCCTCATCCATAGCCATCTGGGGCACGCAAGCGAAAAGTGGAGATCTGAGGTGCGATTTAATGCCTTAAACCCTTAGCAAAACTTTTCTTGTTCTGCCTGCCTTATTTTAATAATTTGATTATAACTTCTTCTAAAAATATCCAAATGACAAATGGTTTGATGCGTTTGAAACCAGACTCGAAGGGCTATTCTTTAGTGACAAAAATTCATGGAATCTATCTTCACATTATGAGAGTTATACCCATTCAAAGGTAGGTGTTGTGCAAGTAAGACACCTTTTCCGCTTAATATTTTTAGCTTTCGCCAATATGCGTCGAATTGTCCTACGGACTTCCAAATCCAAATCCGGACACATGCTTAAGTCTAAAATCACCATACAAAGCTATTAACAACATCAAAATTTCATTACGGAGTCGTTTGCTCAAAAGTCAAACTCCGTTCAACTCTTTTTATTTTAAGCTTCAAAATGAGAATTATTTTTTAAAAAAAATTGAATTCCGAATCTTCCAGAAACCAAACTCGACCACACACGTCATAATACATAATATGAAGTTTCTCAAGACCTTAAGTCACTGAACGGGGCGTTAATTCTTAAAACGACAAGTTGGGTCGTTACAAATTACCCCTAACGTCAACTTTCTGGCCCACTCATACCCTAAAAACTAACGGCCCTATTTTGATTAAGATAATATTTTATTACTTATTATGTGTCAATTTGCTAATGGCTTAAATAAAACCTCATCCCACATCCTATTAGCCCACTCCATGACCCAAAATATCCATACTGGACCCATGACCCGCATTTTAAAATGCCCTAAATGCACCTCTCAACTTCTCCTCTTTGATCCCTACCCTCCCTCTCTATATTTTCTCTAATCATCCTCCTTCATGGCCAAAGTACAATAACTCGACATTGGTGACTGAGGACCACCATCGGCTTCAACTTTAAGATTTTCACCCTTCAACACCCACGAATCTTCCTCTCACACTCAGATTTTTCGGCCTTAATTTAATTTTTAAATTAATATTTTTTTGAGTGAAATCTGGTATTCTTTGAAATTAAATTAATGGTTCATTTTAAGATTTTATGGTTTAATAAGTTATGTTTCTACCAAAATGATATTTTTAAAGATTTTTTGGTTTAAGATTTTGGGAAACTGTTGGCGGTGATTAAGTTGGGAAAGATGAACAAAAAAAGGGATAGGGTACTAAATAATAAATTAATAAAAAAAATATAAATGTTTGACAAATAAAACCAAAATAACGATTGGATCATAAGTCGGGTATGAAATTAGGTGTTTGAGGGGCTAAAGAGGGTTTAACGGGTTGGAACGACTAAGATGGATTGTGGTGGCTTATTTACATATCAGATCTGGGTTAGAGTGTGATTTTTAATTTTAACCAATAACCAATTGCCACATCATATATAACAAAAAGACAATTATTCAGTAAAGGTCCGTGAGAAATAAGGGCATGAATGAGCCAGATTTTTAATGGTAAGGACAGGTTTTACAAAATAGGTGGACGAATGGTATTTTTAAACCCACAAGAGTAGGTTAGGGGCAATTTTGGCCCTTTTCTATTTTAATTAGGTTATAGCAAAATTGGAGGGAAGTTGACGGTAAATTATGGAAGGGAAGGTAAAACGTGTAGACCTGAGGGTTCGGCAAGAAAAATTGTAGGGTTAGGGGAAACAGGCCAACAATGACCCCGTCTTAAGATAAGCTATACCAATAAAATATTAAGCAAAAATTAGTAATATAATCTTTGCATTGAATGAATGAGTAAATGCATAACATTCCTCTTCTATACAATATGTATATTCTCTTTGTCATCGATGTTTCTTTTCGAATACAATCATTCATTATAAAAGTCAAGTTTTTTATGGAATCAATTTTTATGTTATATTATAATATATGTTCTTTATAATAGCACTTCACTATAATAGCCAAAAAAATCTGAAACAAATGAGGCTGTTTTATAGAGGTTTGATTGTACTAGATATGCAAGCAAAAACCTATCCAACCAAAAATACAAGAAATATCTCATCTTTAAAAGCTAATACTATCATCTAATCTTAGCGATTCAAGATGAGTTTAGTGCGTTGTGTCAAATTAAAACTCAATAAAAAACGAGAATCGTTCGTGCTACTTTTACATTACTCCATGTTAGCAGCCTATAAAAAACAAGATAAAGTTACTTCTACCTAATCAGACCCCTCCCTATATACCTTCATTAATATTAGGCTTATTAGTAAAAAGATTAGGCAGATAGTTCATTAAGGGAATGGAATTGATGAAACAGAAAAGGTTAGGAAGGGAACTGGTGAAACTGGAAAAGTTTACTTTCACTCCCTATATATATATTGGATGAAGAACATGTGTTAGTAAAATTCATATACTACCCCCATTTTTGCTAAAAAACAGACCGAACGCCTTTGAGTTATTAGCTTATTGTTATTAATATAAGTAAACATGGCTTCATCCATGGATAAAATTGTTATATCCAATGAAGAGGAAAATTCAATGATGAAGGCTATGCATCTTCCTACTGGTTTAATCCTTAACATGGTTTTGAAAGCTGTCATAGAACTTGGCTTGTTTGAGATCATAGCAAAAGCAAATAGTCAATTATCCTCCTATGATATTGCATCTCAACTTCCCACAAAAAACCCTAAAGCCCCACTTGTTCTTGAAAGGATTCTAAGCTTTCTTGCTAGCCAATCTTTTCTCACTTCCAACATTTCCAAGGATGATGATGGAAAAATTCACACATCATACAATTTGACACCTTTGAGCAAGAGTTTAATATCCGATAAAGACGGATCATCTTTTGCTTCCTTTTTACTTTTGGCTACTGATCGAGTAGCTGTTAATTCCTAGTACAATTTAATATTTTCTCATATTTAGTTCATTGAGTATAACTTTTATACACTAACGTATAAGAATTTTGTACCATCAATTCACATACTTGCTACAAGAAGACAAAATAAATTGATTGTGTAAAGTTTTTGTATATTGTTAGTCTATTTAAGTTAAATCCTTGTTTTATTTGTGATTCGAGATCTATGTTGATTGGATATATTTTGACTTCTTGTTAAGGATTCATTTGAAAGATGCAATTCTAGAGGGTAAAATACCATTCAACAAGGCTCACGGAATGCATAAATTTGGATACCATGGAAAAGATAGTAGATTCAATATGGTGTTCAATAAAGCTATGCAAAACATCTCTTCCATTGAAATGAAGAGAATTCTTGAGTCTTACACTGGCTTCCAAGGAGTAAAAGAGGTCATAGATGTGGGAGGTGGACTTGGGGTATCATTAGCTTCTATAATTTCCAAGTATCCTAATATCAAGGGTATTAATTTTGACCTACCCCATGTCATCAACCATGCAGGTAATTTATTTCCCTTAATTACTCAGGGCTTTTTTCACTTTTAGCTCGCACCAGACTCTATTTATATTTGATAGCAGAAAAAGTGTATAAAAATTGTATAATTTTTGTATATAACATACAGAATGTATATATATACAAAAAATATATATTTTTCGGCTATTATTTTGAGAGTGACTATACAGTGTTATTTTCCCAATTACTTACTGTCACGACCCAAAATCCTAACCTTTCGTGATGGCGCCCATCTCGATACTAGGCAAGCCGATAACCTCAATAAACTACAATTTCTTTTAAATTTGAAAATATAATATTTAAACACAATCCACAAGTCTCACAAATACCGATATAACCACTCCCAAAATTTGGTGTCACTTAGTACATAAGCATCTATACATTACAAGTCTGGAAAATATAGTCTATAATAATATGAGACCAAATACAATAAATAAAAGGATAGGGAAGGAGAGACAAGGTCTGCGAAATATGACAGCTACCTCTGAATCTCCGAAAAATTAACTGTGCAAAAAAATCAACACCTACCGTATCCGGGATTACCTGGATCTGCACACGAGGTGCAGGGTGTAGTATGAGTATAACCAACTCAGTAAGTAACAATAATAAATAAAGAACTGAAAGTAGTGATGAGTTTCTCAACTAAGTCCAAATATATTACTTTCCAATATAAAAGAGTAGGCATGCACTCAAGTTCGACATTTAAGATTTCACTAAAATTTCATATCAAGTTTGACCGAAATAGAAAATAATATTTTTCCGAAATTTTTAAAATAGTGATATATGACAGCTGAAATGCAGCAAATAATGAAATCAATGCATCCTCTCAGAGTAACAGTCACTCAGTCCTCCCATTCACTCCAACCTCACAGTCACTCTTTCCTCACAGTCACTCATCACTCGGCACTCGACACTCGCACTCAGTACGTACCTGCGCTCACTGGGGGTGTGTACAGACTCCGAAGGGGCTCCTTCAGCCCAAGCGCTATATCAAGCCAATCATGGCATAAATCAATAAAAACATGTTGCGGCATGCATCCCGATCCATAAATATCATCACAATTAGGCCCCCGGCCTTACTCAGTCATCAACCTCTCCAGTCTCTCGGGCTCTCAGAAATCATGATAATTAGCCCGAAATTGAGACTGAGATATGTTATGATATGAATAAACATAACTGAGTGTGAAATTACAATTTGAACATATAATTCAACCATAGAAATGACCCCAATGGGTACCAATAATAACAACATATATCTAAGCATGATTTTTAATACGAGTCTTAGCTCGATTTTCCCTAACACGTAGAGAATGTACGGATATTAACAGATAATTCAACAAAACAGTCCCATGGAATTTGACCAAGTTATAATTTCTACGGTGCACACCCACACGCCCGTTACCTAGCATGTGCGTCACCTCAAAACCAATCACATAACACATATTCCGGGGTTTCATACCCTCAGGACCAAATTTAAAACTGTTACTTACCTCAAACTGTGAAATTCTTATTCTGCTAAGCCTTTGCCTCGTTAATTGGCCTTCAAATGCCTCGAATATAGCCACAAATAATTCGATTTAGTCAATAAAATTTATTGGAATTAATTCCATAAGAAAATGCTAATTTTCCATAAAAATCCGAAATTTAGCTAAAAAATCGCTCGTGGGGTCCACGTCTCGGAACTTGACAAAAGTTACAAAATCCGAAAGCCAATTCAACCACGAGTCTAACCATATCAATTTTATAAAAACCCGACCTCAACTCGACCCTCAAATCTTCAATTTAAACCAAGAGGGTTTTCTAAATTTCCAACTTAATTCACCCATTAAATGATAAAAACAACCATAGATTCGAGTAATTTAACCAATATTGAGTTAAGAACACTTACACCGTTATTTTCTCTGAAAATCTCCCAAATATTGCTTCAATCCGAGCTCCAAATCGGTAAAAATAAAAAATGGGACGAAGTCCTATTTTCAGAACTTAAACTCTCTGCCCAGTCATTTGCTCTACGCGATCGCGGACAAACACACGCGATCGCAAAGCACAATTTTTTACTGCCCAGAAAAGCCCCTACGCGATAGCGGTTGTCTTCACGCGATCACGATGCATAGGTTCCCAGCTCTACGCTTAGAGCAAACGCGTGGCCCAGCTTCCTCTCAAGTTCCCCTATGCGAACGCGGCATCTCCCACCCGTTCGCATAGCACAGACTGGTCCAACATACGCGATCGCGGTTGACCTCACACGAATCGCGAAGAACAAAATCAACACTGCCTCAACAAGCCTATGCGATCGCGGACCTTCTCACGCGATCGTATAGAAGGAAACTACTGACAGAAAACCAGCATTCTTTAGCAGTTTACCAAGTCCAAATTTCGATCCGTTAAGCATCCGAAACTCACCCGAGGCCCCCGGAACCTCAACTAAATACACCAACAAGTCCTAAAACCTCATACGAACTTAGTTGAAACCTCAAATTACATCCAACAATGCTAAAATCACAAATTGCACACGGATTCAAGCCTAATGAACTTTGAAATTTCTAAATTCTACAAATGACGCCGAAACCTATCAAATTACGTCCGATTGACCTCATATTTTGCACACAAGTCATAAATGACATAACGGATCTAATCAAATTTCCAGAATCAGATTCCAACCCCGATATCAAAAAGTCAACCCCTAGTCAAACTTTTCAAAAATTTAACTTTCGCCATTTCATACCTAATTCCTCTACCGACCTCCAAATAATTTTTCGGACACGCTCCTAAGTCCAAAATCACCATACGAATCTATTGAAATTATCAAAATTCAAATATGAGGTTGTTTACACATAAGTTCACATCCGATCAACTTTTTTAAATTAAATTTTTAATTATGAGACTAAGTGTCTTATTTCACTCTAAATTCCTTCCGGACCCGAACTAACTAACCCGGTAAGTCATAAAATAACTGTAAAGTATAAAATGAGCAGTAAATAGGAGAACAGGGTTATAATAATCAAAATGCCGGCCGGATCGTTACACTTACTAATCATATTAATTGAATAGGGATCATATTTTTGAACTAATTATCTACTTGTTAGTCCCAAACAACCCGTTTATATTTAAATATTAAAGCTGTATTTGATTGATATTGAAAGATCAAATTAAGCTTCAACTCTTGCTTGTTGTATTAGGCATAGAGCATGTTGGAGGAGATATGTTTAAGAGCGTTCCTAAAGGGGAGGTAATCATTCTCAAGGTCAGTATTCTTTGTCATATTCATATGGAGATTTAACTTATATACACCGGTATTGTAAAGATTCTTTTATATTAGTTGTGTAGTTTAATCTTTGATACTAACTTAGCTGTCATTTTTACCAAGTTACTATTTAATACATCTCATAAAAATTTACTTGTAATTTTCTTATAAGTGACCTATGTAAATATTTTTTGCATCATCAGGTTAAGTCTTTTTGTGACAAACATAATCTAATAACCAAGAAAATAAATAGAAGCAAATTACAAAATTATATTGATAATGGAATTTTTTTTTATACTGTCAATGTATATGTTGCAGGCGATACTTCATGATTGGGATGATGACCATTGCCTGAAAATTTTGAAGAATTGTTGGGGAGCTTTACCAGAAAATGGTAAGGTTGTGGTAATAGAACAAATACAGCTAGAATATCCAGAGACTAATCTTCTCTCTAAGCATTCATTTGGTACTGATATGTTAATGATTACTGTGTTTAATGGAGGGAAAGAAAGAACAAAGCAAGAATTTGAAGCTTTAGCAAAAGAAGCTGGATTTTCTGCTCTCAAAATTGCATGTCGTGCATATTATTGTTGGGTCATGGAATTGTACAAATGTTAAGTTATTATACTTAGTCGGAGGCGGAGCCGGGATTTGAAGTTACTAGAATAGGGATTTTAGCATTTTTATGTTACTGCCTACTGGGTTCTAAAGTCTTCTTTTGTACCTATTCAATGGATTTCTTAAGACAAAAATATGATTTGTACTAAAGCTACACGGTTCGGTCTAACCCCTTAACAGCTCTTGCTCCGCCCTGTCTTAATAATGGATTTAGAATTTCTGCTGTAATAAGTCTTGATAGAACAAAAGGTTGGTCTATGTATTTGCTGTATTATTATATTATGATGTTAAAAGTATAACATGAGTTCCTTTAAGTTCCTAATTGAATAAAGAGAATCCTAATAACTTGGATTTGTTTTTATTATTATCTTTTACTTGTTGTAGTTTAAAAGAAAATATTTTTGTTGGTTGGAGTGTGAAAATATATATCTCTTTAAAAAGTACTCACTATTTATTACACATTGATAAACTTTTTTGTTTTAAAATTTTGTTTATTAATCAGTAGGGGAAGGGAAATGAGGGAGGGAGTAATACGATCCAGAATCAAACCTCCATCAACAAAGTAAAAGTTTAGGTTGCCAATCAACTAACGATACTAAGATTCCCCTTAAAAGATTTGATAATAACGTCATCAAATTGGATAGTTTTTTCATGAAAATTTTTGAGTGTTAAAGATTGATAATAATGTCTAGATGTTGACTTAAGTAATGATATGGAGTTAGAAGTTTAAATAATTGAAAGAAAAATAACTTCCGCCCAAAAGTGAGGGACTTTAATATATTGGACTACTAAAGTTAGGGGTGTACATGGACCGGGTTGGTTCGATTTTTACCAAAACTAAACCAAACCAACTATATCGGTTTGGATTTGTTCGATTTTGTCGGGTTTTATTGTTACATGAATATTATTTCAATCTTAATTTGTTAAATTTTTGATAAATAAATGTATGTTTAGTAAAAATTAAAAAACAAATGACAAACATATGATCTATTAAGGTATTCTGAAGAATTTTCTTAATAACACATGATAGTTTTCATTTTAGTCGCATCTGATAATAATTTTTCGTTGATGTACACTTTCAAAGTTAATCGAATTTAATAATTAAACATAAAAATTAAGATGATACCTAAATAACGATATTTTTTATTTAATTTTAAATTACCGAAATACTATGCCAAATCAGGGGCGGATCCACCCTTTAGGATGGGGGTGGTATGGCACCCGCTATGTTGATAAAATTATCATACATTTATGATGAAATTTTCTTAAACTAGGTTAAATATTTGATCCTGCCACCCCAATTGCAAACTAGTAAAGATGTCATGTGTCACGGCCCAAAATTTTCTCCGTAAAACGTCGTGACGACACCTAGTCTCTACGACTAGGTAAGACTATCAAATTGCGGAAATAACAAAAATGAAAGTAAAACTTAACAACTAACTGCAACAGATAACCAAATAACAGGTAACAATGCCACTCGACATATACAATAACCAACACTCTAGAAATACACAATATTCCCAAACCCCGGAACATCATAAGTCACAAGCTACAGAAGGAAACTAGTATCTCTATACACCAAAGTATAATAAAAGAAGTACAGAAGGTAATTGACATAGGGGAGAATAGAGGGGGACTCCGAGGTTTGCGGACGCGGAAGATGTATCTTGAAGTCTCCGTACAGCAGCAAAACACTCTCAGCTAATAGCGGGGCTGATAAGAAGCACCTGGATTTGCACACCAAACATGTGCAGAAGAGTAGCATGAGTACACCACAATGGAACCCAGTAAGTGCCAAACCTAACCTCCGTAGAGTAGTGACGAGGTCAGGTCAGGGACCACTAGTATATAGTAAATAAAGCAAGAGAATGAAGTAATATAATAAGAGACTGGAATTTAACAAAAAGGAAAACATAGCAAAGTAGCAGTACAAAACACAGGGTTAAGCAGCAGGGGATCTCTCGAGATACAGTCTCGTAGTCCCAAAGTAAATATACAAAGAGATCTCCCGAGGGACCGCCTCGTAGTCTCAAAAGTAAATGTGCAGGGAGAACTCCTGAGGTACCGCCTCATAGTCTCAAAAGTAAGTATGCAGGGAGAACTCTTGAGGTACCGCCTCGTAGTCTCAAAAGTAAATATGCAGGGAGAACTCCTGAGGTACCGCCTCATAGTCTCAAAAGTAAATATGCAGGGAGAACTCCCGAGGTACCGCCTCATAGTCTTAAAAGTAAATACACAGCTCAAACCGATAAGTAGAACAGTTAACAGCAAGAATTCTATAGTTAAGACTGATAAAGATCAAGGAAAAGCAGGAAAATCAACTAGACATGCTGCACAAAGTTCAAATAAACAGTTAAGGCACGTAGATATGTGATATTAGACTAAACAGGATAACTACACATGCTGGTATAACTCAATTAAGATGAAAACATGTTACTACTAAGTAAAAAATCGGGTTTTATAACAATTAGCCCGTGTACGTACTCGTCACCTCACGTACACAACGCTCACATATCACAACAATACCAAATCCTAAGGGAATTTCTCTCACACAAGGTTAGGCAAGTTACTTACCTCGAACCAAGCTTAATTAATCCGTAAGAATGCCTTTTCCTCGATTATCCGACTCTGAATGGCCCAAATCTAGCCAAACACAATTACATATCATAAATACAACTATAATAGACTAATCTAATTAATGAAATCAAGACTTTAACAAGAAATTCGAAAATCATCCTAAAAAGCCTCCCCTGGCCCACGACTCAGAATCGGGTAAAAGTCACAAAATATGAACACTCATTCACTCACGAGTTCACTCGTACCAAGATTATCCAAATCCGATATCAAAATTCCAATCAAAACTCAAAACCTTAGTTAAAGAACTTCTCCCATTTTCCCTAGATTTCTCAACCAAACTCCTTAATTAGATGATGAAATCAACTATAGATTAGTGGAATATAACCATAAACGAGTTAAGAATCGTTACCCCAAATTCTCTCAAAGTCCCAAAATTGAAAATGGGATAAAACTCTCGAACTTGGCCCTTTTCTGTCCAGTGATTTCGCTTCTGCGGACCTTCAGTCGCACCTGCGACGCCGTACCTGGGTAAATTCCATCGCAAGTGCGGAATGACTTAAGAGGGTTGGGTCCGCTTCTACGATGAGGGGGGCCGCACCTGCGAGTGCACACCTGCGGACATTTGTCCGCTTCTGCGAACTCCCCACTCAGCTCGCCTTCCGCTTCTGCGATCCCTTCTCCACAGGAGCGGCTCCACTTTTGCGGTCCTAGTCTCGCACCTGTGCCCACAGGCCAGGCTTCTCCAAACTGCACCTGCCCTCCTCCTTCCGCACGTGCGTGTCCGCACCTGCGGTCATCCCACCGCAGGTGTGATTACACCAGAAGCTTGAAAGCTTCAGCAACTCACACAAGTCCAATTTCGATCCGTTAAGCATCCGAAATCAACCCGAGGCCCCCAGGACCTCAACCAAACATACCAACAAGTCCTAAAATACCATACGAACTTAGTCGAGCCCTCAAATCACATCAAACAACGCTAAAAATACGAATTACCCTCCAATTCAAACTTAATGAACTTTGAAACTTCAAACTTCTAAAATCGATGCCAAAACCTATCAAACCATGTCCGATTAACCTCAGATTTTGCACACAAGTCATAATTGACATTACAAACCTGCTCCAACTTCTGGAATCGGAATCTGACGCCGACATAAAAAAGTCCACTTCCGGTCAAACTTCCCAAAAATTCAACTTTCGCTATTTCAATGCTAATTCAGCTACAGACCTCCAAAACACGATCCAGACAGGCTCCTAAGTTGAAAATCACCTAACGGAGCTAACTGAATCGATGAAACTCCATTCCGGAGTCATCTTCACACAGTTCCAACTAAGGTCAAAATCCTAGAACTTAAACTTCTGTTTTAAGGAGTAAGTGTCCCTAACCAATCCGAAACCACAAACATAACCTCCCAGCAAGTCACATAAGCAGAAAAAGATACGGGGGAAGCAGTAAATAGGGGATCAGGGCTATTACTCTCAAAACAACCGGTAGGGTCGTTACATCCTCCCCCTTTTAAAACAACCATTCGTCTTGGAACGAGTATAGAGATATACCTGAAGTGGTGAAAAGATGAGGATAGCGGCTGCACATATCATGCTCGGTCTCCCAAGTCGCCTCCTCGACCAGCTGACCCCTCCACTGGACCTCCACGGAAGCAATGTTCTTTGACCTCAGCTTTCGAAACTGCCTATCCAAAATAGCCACCGGCTCCTCAACATAAGATAAATCCTTATCCAACTGGACTGAGCTGAAATCCAACACATGAGACGGATCGTCGTGATAGTTCCGGAGCATAGAAATATGGAATACTGGATGAACGACAGAGAGACTAGGTGGTAGTGCAAGTTTGTAAGCCACTCTTCAACCCTTTCAAGAATCTCGAAAGGCCCGCTATACCTAGGGCTCAACTTACCCTTCTTCCCGAACCTTATAATAACCTTCATGGGCAAAACCCGGAGCAAGACCCGTTCCCCACCCATGAATGCAACATCGCGAATCCTCCGATCTGCATAACTCTTCTGTCTGGACTTGGCTGTGCGAAGTCGATCTTGAATTACCTTAACCTTCTCCAAGAGCATCCTGAACCAAGTTTATACCCAATAATTTAGCCTCGCATGCCTCGAACCAACCAACTGGAGACCGGCATCGCCGCCTATATAAGGCCTCATACGGTGGCAAAAACTGGTCCCAAACACCCCCAAAATCTATCACACAAGCACGAAGCATATCCTCCAGTATATGAATAGTGTGCCCGGACTGTCCATCTGTCTGAGGGAGAAATGCTGTGCTCAACACAACCCGAGTACCCAACTCCTATTGTACAGCCCTCCAGAACTGTGATGTAAATTGCTTACCCCGGTCAGAGATGATAGACACTGGTACGCCATGAAGCCTGACAATCTCGCGGATATAAATTCGAGCCAACTGCTTGGAAGAATAGGAAGTCATCACAGGAATAAAATGAG